GACAGGGTTGGTTCCCTTCCACGCCAGAGATCAAGACTTTCCCTCTCTGCTTTGACTTGTGAGACAGATAGCAGCGTGGCTGCCGCCGCAGGGGGCTTCGGGGCTCAAAAGCAAGACGCAGACTGTGCTGATGGACTCCTAAAAGGGTGGTGGTTACTTGAAGAGAAAAAAAAAAGCAGTGCAGCCATAGAACCTTGAACTTGAAATTTTAGACAATATAAAATAATGGCTGCCCCCACTTAGCCGATCAGTGGACTAATCAGTTGTTTTGGGCTTAGTTGACCAAGATTTATTATGTTGATTATCTGTTTTGTATGCTTAATAACTTATTTTTAAGAATCCTATCAACACAACATTCAAAGTGATGCATCTGTGTGACATTTTTTTGTGGCGAAGCTCAGTTTTACTGTTTCTCTCGATTAAATCAACTAATCGATAGGTCGTATGAGTTGTAGTCGACAACGAATTTCTTTGGCAGACAGCCCTATAATAGCAAGCTGCAGACGGGCGCTTCAATGACACAGTTGATTCTTTGATTTAATTGCTTTTTAAATTGGAAGTGTGGTTCTCAACGCACCACTGATGTGGGAAGATAAACGTGAGAGTGCACATGTTGGCACGTTATCTCCATATATATTTAGAGGGACCAGGTTCAATCTAGTCTTTCTAACATCACACCACCAGGCACTCTCCTTTCTCCCAACAGCAGAAGTCCATCAAAGTCTCGTCACAGTTAATGGACCTGCCACACGGACTCACTTATTCTCTAATGAAAAAAGAGACAAATTATATGAATGGAAATGCCACAGCGTCCTGTTTGACGGACACATGCTTCTTCCACCTCTACTCGACCTGTCCATCAGCGCTACGTTTTCTCTGACTTCGTCATCAACTCCGAAGTGAAAAGTAATTTACTGATGATGGTTTACTGCTGAGTAAGCTGCGTCGAGATGAATATTCGGAGCCTCAAACTAACGATCTTGTGTGTTTTTTTTCCTGATTGCTGAAGTGTCTCTTTTGCATAGCCTACTGGTTGAAAAGCAGACGTGTGAGCAGACTCTCATCACATCTCACTTGATATTCTGCTGAATGTCAGTCCCTCCGAATCGGCCACAAAGTCGATTAAGCCTCATGGCTTCGTGCGAAGCCGTACTTAAGAGAGCCTGCGTTAAGCATCACTTTCTGTTTTACCGCACTCGCGTTTCTTCTTCATTTTTTATTTTTTTTTCACCCATGCAGAAGTGATTTGGCCCTCAGACGCGGGTCTGAACCTGTAATTATCTAACAGCCAGAGCAGTGTCCCTGTAATTCTTTTAAACCGTCTAGGATCCCAAGACATTCAGGGAGGTCTTCCTCTGTCACACACATCAGGCTAAAGGCCCCCAGTGCCCCCTCTTCACCCACACACACACACACACACACACACTCACACACACACACAGACACACACACACACACACACACACGTGTTTTCACTTTGGTGGACACTTTATATGCGTGAAGCTGTGAACTTATCTCCATAAAGTACAGTCACCGGGATTCCTGCACACAGAAGCTCCAGTGTAAATACTTTTTACAATACTTTAATCTAAAGGATATATATTTAACACAGTTAACACAAGGATCCAGTTGAAAGTAGCGTAAAAAGTATTCAGATTGTTTATCTAAGTAAAAGCAGCAATCGCACAATGTAAATACGATATATATTACAGCTTATGAATATCCTATTGTAAGTAAAAGTATTATTGTGCAGCAGAAAGGGTGTTATTATAATATTATATTTTTGCAAATGCATCAACATGTAGGCAGCATTTTAATGTAGTAGTTGGTTAAGGTGGACCTAATATTAAAAAATAAGTACTTTACTTCATACATGATTATTGCCACATTGACTCCCACAGTTCAGACATATTCCACTACATTTATTTGACAGCTGTTGTTACTTTTTAGATTACGATTTTACAAAACAAATGATGAGCTTGTTAAGTATGATGATCATATGATATTTATGAAGGATTAGCTGATTAATCAGTTTGTTAAAAGACAGTAAAACACATCAGCTATCATAGCTGGATGAGTTTGATTTATTTTTCATTCAACATTTCATGGCTCCAGCCTCTCAAATGTCAGGATGTGCTGCTGACTGGAATGAATCTGACTTCTGTTTGGACAACAGCAGTGCAAATGCATCAGTAAGAATAATCTGATGAGATCATATTTAATAATATAACAGTGACAAAATCCATGTTCGCCTCCAGTACTTTCTACGCTTCAAGTACATTGTTCTAACATGACGTACTTTTACTTGAGTACAATTTTCAATGCATGTGGTATTTTTAACTTAAGTAAATCTGAATACTTCCTCCACGACTGATATGTTTTAAGCTCTCGACATGTTTTTAATGTGACGTGTAAAGTATAGGGCTGCAACAGACACTTATTTTCATTATTGATTATGTTCATTTTCGATCAAATAAAAAAAAAATGATTTATTGCTCAATGTTTGTTGTATGAAATGTACAAGAAAAACCACAACAAACGGCCTGACATATATATTTCACCATCACACATGACAAAGATAAGCACATTCTTACAAATGATTGTATGGAACCATCGAATATTTTGCTTGGAAAATGACTTAAATGTAGAATTGATTATCAGAAGAGTCGCCATTTTCTGTCAGTCAACTATAACTGAATGAATGCGGTGGAATAAAAAGTACAATATTTCCCTCAGAAATGGATTGGAGTAGAAATAAAGATACTCAAGCAAAGTACACATCCCTCTAAATGTTACTTTGGTGCAGTACTGGATTAAATGTACTAACTTGCCACCTCTGCCAGTGGTAGATAATAAAGTTTTGCAGCGTAAAAACAGCGAGACAGTGTAGCACATGTGCACATGCTTTGAACCTGCAGGGTGGGGTCATTCATGTTTGGATATCTAATCAGTCCTCAGTGAGTTGTGGACCAGAAACAAAAACCTTGTGCCAGTCGCTCTGATCAGTCTAATTAATTCCTGAAATGTGTTACAGCGTAGTGTCCTGCTGCTGTCCCGTGAAAGGCTGCATTGAGGTCTGCTCCGACAGATGGGCTCGGTCTATTGAAACAACTCTGAATCAATATGCAGTGGGCCAGGCTACATGCGTTCGTCTGTGGAGCACTTTTACAAAGATTCTTTTTCTTTTTCTCCTTTCTTTGCTGCTGTTCTCTTACCTCTTTGTATGCAATATGGAAGCGAGTCAAAGAACATTTCAACAGTCGTGAAGAGTGGAACACTTTGATTTTAATATGCGGTATATTGCTTTTGGAAATCCAAACTTTCCAAAGGCTGTTCCTGCTGAAATTCACGAAACAAGACCCAATCTACAAAAGTATCGCAGGCCGACTAACCAGACAGCGAAGCTACACATAATGTAAATTAACACTCACTTTTGTTATTTTACTCCATCAGTGTTTTAAATGGGTCATGTTGGAACAATGAGAAAATCATTGTTTTGTTTTTTATTGAAGGACAATGCATGTAGTTTTACAACAGAGACTGCAGTATTAAGCATTTGAGTTGTACTGTCTCCCCACAGACATCATGCACTGTGAGCCCTCTACTGGTCACACATCTCCTCATTGTGAGCCTGCTCACACCTAAAGCAATAAAAAGCAATTACTGGAATGACATTGACAAGACGTTTAGTAGCCAGCGTGATAAACATGTCACATATTCTTCACATCAACTAAAGGCAAAGTCCCCCCCCTTCATTATGATTTAATCAGACAACCAGTCTTTTTGATCAAGTGGTCTCTATACTCAGACAGAATCTAGTCGGTGGACTGATAGAAGTCCAACGACAAAACTGATGATGATTTGATTGATTTTTAAAAACTTAAAACAGACTATTAAGTAGCTTTAGATAAACAATTGAGAATCTTCCACCTTTTTACAGATATGCCAAATCACATACAATGTTCTTTTCATATTTATTTTCTGCAGCTGTGATCATGTAGTTTATTGAAGCAAGATCAGTATAAAAGTTGTTGCATTTACTAAAATAATTTTACAACACACTGATTTTTTTGAGCAATGCTTTTGTATTTTACATAACCTCAGCACTTTTCCAATTCATATAATTCAATAAAGATCATTTCGATAATTACCTTAATTAGGGAGTAGGAGTGTACATACTAAACTATATCTTAATTCACTCATAAGACAGTGTTTGGTAAATGAGAAGAGGGACACCTCTGATGGAGATAATATTCCATTCATTAAGGTGGTAACACTTAGGGAATAAAATGATAGTCAAATGAAATGAAATATTCATGATTATACTCTGAGAATTCATGGTACCCACCTGCAATAACTCCTAGATGTCCCAGAACGTCACTCTGAGGACCACCTCCCTATTATTGACTACTGTTAGTGGTAGGAAATGACCCTTACCAAAGGGTCTCGGCATCATGTAGTGTGATTTATTCCCGTCTCCGGAGCAGGGGCAGTGCGCATGCGCTCAAGATCTCCCAACAACATGCGTTTGAATAACGCCTGCATCAATTTACCAGAGACACGAGGAGAAGGAGCGGAAGTGATGCAGATGTGTCTCAGTATTAAAGCATGAGATCGATTATGGAATGAGAGACCACTACTAGCAAAACAAATATATGTAGAAGCTATAATATGAATAACTTATATAAATAATCTTTTTGGCCAATTGCTGTTTTAGGTGAGAATAAAACAACATGGCACACATCAACGACCAGATAATGCCGAAATGGATGATTTTTTGTCTCCAAAAAAAAAAGGCTCCATATTATTTGTGTTAAAGCCTACAGTTAGCAGAACACTTCCTCGTGTATCATTTCTGATATGCACTTATATACGGTCTATTATTGCTCGTGAACGATAACGCCTAGTCAGCGAGCTTTATTTTGTAAAGCCTAACCGGAAGTCGTAGGTGAGGTTGCGGCTGACTTGAGAGCGGTCCGTCCAGCATCGGCCGCTGAGCATCAGAGCGCTGATCCTCTCCTCTGTGTCGGGGAGGCGTGCAGCAGACGCTGTCAGGAGATCCACTGAACGCGCTGCTCGTGTTTTATTTTCTACCCAACTCTCAGCCAGAGATATATAAAGCGCTCCAGCTCGGACCCAACATGGGTTAGAGAGGAAGCGACCTATGGATTAGCCACTTTGTGCACTTCGCCGAGGATGATGGGGGGGGGGAAAGAGACTTGTTTTCGCTGAGACATCCTGACAAAGACGGGGACTGAGAGGGAACAGAGATCGGGATTTCGCTGCTCTTTCGCTTTGCATCGTTGTCTTCTTTTTGATTTTCCTGTTTTTGCATTTTTTTTAAATTTTATTTTATACATTTATTTTTTTTTTCCCGCGTGTGTGCGAGGCAGAGAAATGTTTGCAGAATTGCTGTGCGGCGCCGTGGCTCTGGTCCTGTATGTCAACACTCTGGACGCCGATTTCTGCTACGATGACAGGTACTTGGGTGAATGAATGAATGAATGAATGAATGACGTGCGCTAACGTCCCTTGTCTCCTGCTGCTGTCCTCACCTGTAACCGTTATCGATTCTGGATATGAATAAAGGGGCTTCATTCATCATGTTTGCAATAACTCCGAATGAGCAGTTGGCTATTTCACTGCAGCTGCAGCAGCAACACTGGCAGCTGACCCGTGTGAAGCTTTTTCATTAACACGAGCAGTCTGCCCTCAGGACAGTATCGACTCATCAATAGACCAGGGTGCTTTGACTGCCCTGCTGGTCATCCTTACCCAAAGCTACAGTGTGTAAGAAACTTTTGAATCACTGTAGCATTCCTACAGACACGTGTGTGTGTGTGTGTGTGTGTGTGTGTGTGTGTTTTATCATGATCATACAGTATTTTCACACCCCCTGTCATATTCCTGCTATCTTTCCAGGACCACTATCTAGGATGAACATGGTGACACCAGGACTAAACAGGCAGTGTGCTCGGATGCCTCAGTGCAAAGTGTTGCAGCCTCCAGAGTTTTGGACTTGCTCTCAAGTCTTGAGTTGTGCTGAGGAAATAATTGATCTCTGGAGGACAAATGTGTCTCCCCACAGCCCGACAGTAGAAGTCCCCTTTTTCCCCTGAAAAACAGATCCGACTTTGCAGCCTTACTGGAACTTTCAGCAAAGTATTTCTTTATTTGTATTTAGGAAATAGGGAGTAAGTCGTCACCCTGCACTTGGGAACCATCAGTTTGAGGAGGCGAGGGCGGTGCTCGGTTCAGCCCGCTGCTCTAACGCGGAGTAATGCATCACTCATAGCTGGCCATTTGGTATTTGATGGCTGAATGGTTGTCGGTGCCTCAGGCTCATTTATGCAGCATCCACGCTCTCATGTAGGTCAGAGGCACCGTCGTAGTCCTGCCGCCCCCCCATGTTGCGTCTTGCTGTCGTTGTACATGTACACATTGTACACGGTTTGTGTGTGTGTATAACAGGTGCAGCCTTTCAAAGCACAGCCAGAGGATACATCTTAGTGAGCTAACACTACATTAACACCCTCCACATCAACCGGTGGTGTATTTCCTTTACAGCTTAGCTCTGTACATGGAACACTTCCTGCTCAACACGTCCCCAAAGGCCTTTTTAAAAAAAAAAAAAAAAAAAAAAAGATTTTGCTGAAAGTCTTGATACGTTTCTTGTGTTAAAGTCGCTTGTGTCTTTGCACTTTGTGTTATGGTCAGGTGGTTCAGGGAGAGAGATGGTGTTCCGTGTCCATAAAGCTGTCAGGGAGTGGCCGTGCTGTGCAGAGGTGAGAGGCTATACCTACCGCTGCTGCTGATGTCAGCCGCTGTGTGGGTGCTGGAGAGCCTCGAGCCTCCGAGCTTTAATGCAAGACAGAAAGCCAAATTGTTCTGTGAAGAGATGTTAAAACATAGTGTTATTTATTACCATTTGAGTTTTTTGGCCCAAGTTACTGCAGGCTTCCTATGAAACAGATGAGTCCTCCAGTCCAGGCTCTCTGACATGCTTTTTTTTTTATTGCGGCCTATATATCTCATCCGGTGCTATCTGTTTTTAACACCATGTGTTAGGTTCGGGCTTGCAATTAGCAGCCGTCTCCTGTCCCCCTTGGGCTCCACTGAGGGAGGGAGGGTTGCGAGAGCGATAATATTGCGAGGGGGGGAAAAGCAACCCTGGACACACAGACTGATCTAACTCTAATGCTGCATTCTCGTGGAGGAAATACTGAACGTGTGAGAGACGATAAATCAAACTGCACGCTTGCCATCACCCCCAACACCCTGCAGCTCGTATCGGCAGGATTTATTTTAACTGCGAGTCTGACGGTAATTTATGTTTTTCAAAGGACATCAGTATTACAGAATGTAAAGGCCTCTAGCTCCAAAAATAACAACCGATAGGTGGATGTTTTCTTCGTTTTGCATTTAAAAGTGAAAGTAAACTCTTCTTCTGAGTGTTCACGATGAATAGCTGCAGAGGTCTTAAATATGGGTATTTTGTCACAGTGCAACATTGATTCCTGTCCGTGAGAAGACGGATTGTGCTACTTTTTTTGTTGTTGCTCCTGGCTGTGAAACCGATGCATTGACTTAACTCGGCGAGTGATTAAAAGTTAGGATCCGAAAGTGTGGCGTGTGTGTGTTTGTTTTGGGTGCGTGTAAAAGGACTCAGAGCTACAGAGCCTCAGAAGAGACATCTGGGGATTTTGCAATCGATTGGCTGGTATAGTCTCGTACGGCGGCGGAATACGTAATGTCGCTTTCTCTTTGTGTATTCTTCTCGTGGTGAAAGGAGTGTTTGAGAAACATGAAACTGTTAATGGCTTCTTATCACTAACTCGGCTGGTCACACATTCATTTGAGCAAACTGTGTAGGCCATGAGGAGGTCACAGTTAAAGGGGAAACAAGTTTACGCGTGTTACAAGAAATACCCTCCAAGATGTAAAAAAAATGACAGCACGACAGTTTCTTGACTCTGCAGCCAGTCACAATCCCTCCCTGGATAAAAAAAAATACAGCCTGAAAGAGTAACCAATCTCCCAGGGAGCTTTTCCTCCAGGACACACTCATCATTAACACATACACAGCTTTGACACCTGTGCCTGGAAAATGGGAATCGTACGTCATGCAGTTCATATCTCTGCTGCTATATAATCCACAGCTAGGGCCGAGTGAAGGAACGGATAAATGTCAGAGGAGAAATACTGCCGCAATAGTGTGTAAGACTGGCCGTGAGCCTGCACACCTGCGGCACAACAGCGAAAACCCGGTGAAGGCATCGGGGCGTTATTAGCTTGATTGCAGGTGGCGGAATTTATGTCACAGCCCCTTTTTAAAAGTTTCTCAATGATGAAGCTTCCTGTGCCTCAGGTTAACCGAGGGGAGCGCACGAGTAGTGAAGTTAAAAACAAAGAAAAGAAAAGGCCACTTTCTCCATTGAACAGCAGAAAACATTGAGCTGTTTTCAAGGTATATTTCAGCCTGCCCACACACACACACCCACACACACACACACACTGGCTCTATGGATTATCGTTCCCTGTCAGGAGCTTTGACAGATGTGGTGAACTGCGCCCAGCCCCGGCATGATGTCTTACGGTTTCGACTGTGTGAGGATGTGTGAAGGTTGCATCCTCCCTGGCCATGGCCGATGATTTATAACGCTCAGACAGTCGGTGAGAAGGCGAGCTGGCGCTTTCTGCTCCGTGGCCCCGAGAGCTTTATTTAGAGAAGTCGGGATCGGGGGCACAACCGAACGCTTCACGCTGATGCGGTTTGATGTGAGCTTCGAGTCGATGGCGGCAAAGAAGCCACACAGCGCTCTGGGAAGTGACTCATGTTGCTTTAATGATCTACCAACCGGGTTACGGAGAAAACAACAACAGTAGGGGATCTTTATTAATGTATTTTGGTACTTTTTTTTCCCATTTTCGCTTATTTTATTCCACTTTCTATCATAGCGGTTTCCTCAAAGATGCGCACACAAACAAAAGTAGGCCGGATACTTTGACTTATTGTCTAATGACAAGAAGGTCTTTGCAGAATCTTCATACAGGGCTCTGTGTGGTCCTGCCGGCCTGTCGACCTACCTGGCCTGACGTGGGCTCGGGCGCCGTCTGTGCCGCCTCCTCCTCCTCCTTGGCACTGTGTGTCAGTGCGCTGATCTGGAACCCTTCTCTCATGGCCTATACTGTAGGATGGGCTGTCTGCGGTCATGTTGAGGGCCCAAGGGCGGCAACCCAGCAGTTTGAGTATCTCCGCTTTTTTTTCCCTCCCAGTCAGGCTCTCTCTGTCTGCTCCCTGTAATTACCGTCCTGCCTGCAGAGAGGGACTTACGACATGGTTTGGTAGACGTTCTCTCTCTCTCTCTCCCTCCCAAAACCCTTTAGTCCTCCAGCTCCCATCACCCAACAACTGCCTCCAGATGGTCCCGTTTGGTAAGCAGTTTAGGGTTTTTCTCCCTTCTGCAGTTTGAAGGGGAAGGTTTTGAAATGGATTCAAATGGAGGATGTCGTGTTTGCTTGTCGTTGCCAGGGTGGACACATCAAAGTGCCCAATGACACAGACGGTGCGTTACGGAGCCAGTGAAGAGGGCTTCATGGCAAAAGCACATGCAGCCATATTGTCATATGTCAAATTGTCAAATGGCAGTGAGTAATATGAAAGGGCTCACTCATAGTAGACAAAGAAGAAGCTACGGAGAATTAGCTTTATATCATCTTTCACCTAATTGGTTTTAAGACCAGCATGGTTCACTCTCACCTCTCTCATAGCGTTTTTAGGCCACAACAAGTAGCTGTTTTCAGTGAAAAAGCTCCAAGTACCCACTCGACACTACCTTCCCTGCACCAAACGCCTACTACTCCAAAGGAACGCTAATGTCGCTCTGTATCTGCTGGATGTGTTTCAACTGTTTGCTAACAAGTTAGCCTTAGCAACTAATAAGGTGATACTGTAGCTAGTGTTTGATAGCTTGTTTCTGCACGCAAGTGGCTAATTGAATCAGGGTCTGCAGGTTAATTTAATATCAATTATCAAATACAAATACCAACAAATTATGAAAATGATTGATGATGGTGTTTGTGGCTATTTTCAAAGTGCAACGGATTTGTTGTCTTGAGGAGGAAGCTTTGGTGTTCCTGCATTTCCTTCCCTTAAATCACCCGGGAGTACGATCTGTTGGCAGGAGAGGAAGGAGGTGTGTGGGAGGCACCCTGCCCACCCTTGTTGGCGCACACACTTTCTCAGATAGAGTCTCTCAGATGTGGGGGAAGACGGTGTTTGTGATTTCTGACCAAAGTTTACAGATTAAACCCAAATTCCATGCGCCAACTTGAGACTGTTCGCATACCATGCACATTAGCTGTTGACACGTGTCAACACACTTGTAGAGGTAAAAAGTTATTTTCATCCCAGTTCCCACTTTTTAATGTTTCTCTCAAGATGATTAAACGTCACAGAAACAATAACTGATCTCCTGCC